AATAGTTGTAACAAGTTCTGATTCGTAATGCGGAATATTGAACTAAATGAAGTGAGGAATCATTCATTGAGTTGAATATCCCAGAATTTCTTATGCCAAGGGATTGGGTTTGAATGAAAATAGAGAATGCAATAACAATGAGTAATGGAAATTTTAGAAAGAATCAATAGGAATACATAGGAGGGAGATTGATGAAATCAAATCCCAACTGTTTCTTATATCTGTTTTCTTTAAATCAAATTACTCTTTGGTTTCTTGAAGTTGGAAAATCATATATCTCAAATTTGAATATGTGTAACTATTCCAGTTTTAAATTTATAAGCATCAACTAATATAATAGAAATCTAAGTTATCTCACAAGTCCCTGAGGTTCGACAACCTTTTATTTTTACTACAGAGACTTGGGTGCGCTTGCCTATTTAAAATCTTAACATGGTGCTACACTGCATGTTACACCAAGGAAAGAGGTCTTCACATCTTACACTTCTGGTGATTTTGAAGTGTTGAAGATGGGTAATGATGGTGTGTCTAAAGTGATTGGTGTTGGTGATGTTTGCCTGCAAACCAACATGGGAATGCAGTTGTTGCTTAGAGGAGTCAAACATGCTCTTGATGTCTGTTTTAATTTGATCTCTGTGCAGATACTTGATGATGGTGGTTATGATAACCACCTTGGTTCTGGAAAGTGGAAACTCACCAAAGGTAACTTGGTTGTGGCTAGAGGGGAGAAAAATTCTAAACTGTATTGGACAAAAACTTTGGTTGCTAAAGACAGTGTGAATGCAATGGATATGGAGGCATCTTTGTGGCACTGAAGGCTTAGTCATATCAGTGAAAAGGGATTGAATTGCTTAGCTAAAAAGGATGTTCTTCAAGGGTTGAAGAGTGCAGAATTGGAGAAATGTTCTCATTGCATGGCTGGAAAGCAAACCAGAGTATCCTTCAAGAAGCATCCTCCCTCAAGGAAGTCAGAGTTGTTACAATTGGTACATTCTGATGTTTGTGGTCCATTGAAGGTGAAATCCTTTAGTGGTGCACTTTACTTTGTTACCTTTATTGATGATTGTTCCAGGAAACTATGGGTCTATGCTTTGCAGAGAAAAGATCAGGTGTTGGAGAGGTTCAAACAATTTCATGCCTTGGTTGAAAGACAGTCAGGGAAGAAGCTGAAACCCATTCGTACTGACAATGATGGTGAGTATTGTGGACCCTTTGATGTTTATTGCAAGCAACATGGTATTGCACATGAGAAGACTCCTCCTAAAACTCCTCAGTTGAATGGTTTAGCAGCGAGGATGAACAGGACATTGCTTGAGAGGGTGAGATGTATGCTCTCAGATGCTAAATTACACAAGCATTTTTGGGGTGAGACACTATACACGGCGGTGCATGTTATTAATCTCACTCCTACTGTTATTCTTAACAGTGAGGTGCCAGACAAAATTTGGTTTGGCAAGAATGAAAGCTATGATCATTTGCGTGTCTTTGGTTGCAAGGCATTTGTCCATATTCCAAGGGATGAAAGATCCAAGTTGGATGCAAAGACAAGGCAGTGCATCTTCATTGGTTATGGTGAGGATGAATTTGGCTACAGGTTTTATGATCCTGTTGAGAAGAAGCTTGTTAGAAGTCGTGATGTACAGTTCATGGAAGACCAAACCATTGAAGACATTGATAAGGTAGAAAAGACTACACCCGAGAAAGACAGGAATCTGACTAATGTTGATCCTATGCGATTACCTATTCACAATCTGGATAATGTTGATGGTAGTGTTCAACCTGGTGAACAACATGATGATGTTGATGATCAACAACTTGGAGGTGGATTAGATGTTCCTATTGATGATGACTAGGAGGAGCATGAAATGTCTCATGATGAGAATATTGATTATACATCCAGGAAGCGCTTGTTTAATGTCCCGAGCCTGAAAAGAAGAGACCTCAAGGGTCTCTGAAAGAAATGACACAACACACCTTCGACGTAGATTGGACTTTTTGTTGAGCTTAGGAGAGCTGAAAAAGAGTTTTGATGATAACAACAGCCGGAGACAACAAGTGTGCAACAACAACATTGAACACAAAAACAAAGTCAAGGAAGTTCAAGAAAAATGCTTTGAAGTATAGCTATGTAATAGTGTTTAGGAAATAAAGTGTTAGCAGCTACTCTTAATATAGAGGTAGAGCAAATGGATGTGAAAACTGCTTTCCTTCATGGTGATTTGGAGGAAGAGATTTATATGAAACAACCTGATGGCTTTCAGGTTAAAGGCAAGGAAGACTGTGTATGTAGGCTGAGAAAAAGTCTATACGGTCTGAAGCAGGCTCCAAGACAGTGGTATAAGAAGTTTGAGTCTTTTATGTGTGACCAAGGCTACAAGAAGACTACTTCTGATCATTGTGTCTTTGTTAAAAAGTTTTCTAATGATGACTTTATTATCCTGTTATTGTATGTTGATGACATGCTTATTGTTAGGAAAGATGTTTCCAGGATTGACAGGTTAAAGAAGAAATTGGGCGAGTCATTTGCCATGAAAGACATGGGAGCTGCTAAACAGATTCTTGGTATAAGAATCATTCGTGACAGAGAGAAATGGAAGCTTTGGCTATCACAGGAACAATATATTAAAAGGGTGTTGCAGAGATTCCAGATAGAAAATGCTAAGGCTGTGAGCACTCCTTTTGCTACTCATTTTAAATTGAGTGTTAAACAGAGTCCTTCTAATAAAGCTGAGAAATTAGACATGGAGAGAGTTCCTTATGCATCTGCAGTGGGTAGTTTGATGTATGCAATGGTGTGTACTAGACCATATATTGCACATGCTGTTGGTACAGTCAGTAGATTTTTGTCAAACCCAGGTAGAGAGCATTGGAATTCTGTGAAATGGATTCTGAGGTATCTTCATGGTACTGTTGATATGAAGCTTTGTTTTGGAGGGGATAAGCCTACTTTGGTGGGTTACTCAGACTCAGATATGGCTGGAGATGTTGATTCCAGAAAGTCCACTTCGGGCTATTTGATTAAGTTTGCAGGGGGAGCTGTGGCTTGGCAATCAAGGCTGCAGAGGTGTGTAACATTATCTACTACAGAGGCAGAGTTCATTGCTATTACTGAAGCATGCAAAGAGTTGCTATGGTTGAAGAAATTCTTGCAGGAGCTTGGTTTTGTGCAGGACAAATACCCTTTATTTGTTGATAGTCAGAGTGCTATCCATCTTGGCAAGAATCCAACTTTTCATTCTAGGTCCAAACATATTGATGTAAGGTATCATTGGATACGTGATGCTTTGGATGCTAAGCTGTTGGAGTTGGCTAAAATTCATACTGATGATAATGGGGCTAATATGATGACTAAAGCATTGCCAAGAGGAAAATTTGAAATTTGTTTTGAGATCGCCGGTTTGGCGGTTATCTCCACATACTTGTGAGAGGGAGATTTGTTGGGTATTGGGCTCCCTTCCTATGTGGAGAAAAGACCCAAAATTGAGAAGTCCACTTGATGTCTCACTTAATTAAGTGGAGAGAGAGTCTGAAGCGGGTAAGAGAAAAAGAGGGAAAGTCAGAAGTCATTTAGAGCACCAGCACTTTGAGAGAGAGGAAGAGAGAAAGTCATTCTCGTTTTTACACAGAGCTGCGATAGTAAAATTAGTACTGCAGACTCGTTCACTGTTGGATCGGGCTAAAAATTGGACAGCAGGTTTGTGACATCCGGTTCTTCATTCTGACCGGTTGGATCATTGAAACGAGATCGGAGTAGGGAGATATTCAGTTTGCACTGTAGCTGTGTATTTAGAGTTTTTCATCTTCTTTGTTCTCTATTTGTAAGCTTCATTGCTTTGTTGTTTGGCTGGGTGTTAGCACTATTTTATGCAGTAGACTAAGACTCTTTTGTACTCTTTGTTGATCATAGTGGAGCTATTTCTTTGGTCTGGACGACTCGTGGTTTTTACTCTTACTTTGAGGGGTTTTCCACGTTAAAAATCTTGGTGTCTCTGTGTGTGATTTTTGGTGATTTATTATTTTTGTTCATTGGTTGTTGCTCCTCACAGATTCTTGCAAGTTTGGGGAATTTATTTCCGCTGTGATAACTGTTTGAGTTTGCTCTGTATTGTTATTGCGTTGCTATTTCCCCATCAATAACATGTAGTCCGCATCCATTATAATGTAACTGTTATTGGTTATTATGCTATGATTGAATGACCGTGGTTATAATGTTAGTTTATGTATGTTATATCTTGTTGTGTGCTTGTTTGTGTTTGGTTGCCTAGTGTGCATTCTTGCACCGTGAGTCAGTGAAATGTTTCTTACTCTTTGTTGTGTTGTTTTTCTTGGTTGTTATGGAGATGATCATCAACATATGACTGAAGATGTTGATGATGAAACTTAGGCTTCAATGTTGGATTTTGCTCCAATAGGATATGTGACGTCGAGGTATAACTAAGATTAGATTAAGATGTTATATTTTTGAATTATTTTGAAAAACATTAATTTTATTTCCTTACAATTTCATTGGTTATATTATTTTAGTTAGGCTAAAAATGTTATACTTTCTACCTGAACATGTTTGTATTTAGTTATAATTCATTAAGTATGTATTATGATATGCGGGGTAAAGGAGGTCACATTAGTAGTCTTCTCTCTCAACCACATTATTTTTGGGTCCACAATACTCAAACCCTACTAATTATAACTAAGTAACTTCATCCGCTAACTGGCTTAAGTAAATTCAGACCTAATTTTACCCCACTGTATATCTGGCTTAAGTGTATTAAGGAATAGGCTAAACAAATATGACTAAAAGTGGTTCTTCTACTCATATATATCTTTATATAATATATCATTCTTTTCTACTGCATGTCATCCGAACTCCTAAAACAAACTCCCGAGTCTGCACTTTGATCATATGGAAGATAAAGATGTCATGAAGTGGGAATCATACGAGTCTAGCTACCAGGAAACATAGAATATGACAATTTTTTATGCCAATGTTATAGAACTTAATACTACAGACTTACTCTACTCATATGCAATCGCTTATGAGGGTCCCTCAGAAGACAATTTTCAGCTAGACGACTCATCCAATAGAGTTGATGGCAGTCATGAGAATTGATCATCCTTCCATCAATAAGAGATTGGCATTTCCCTTCTCTTAGTAGTGGTCTTGCCTACACAAAAATGACCAATTCAAAATCCTTGGAATTTGTAATATTACAGATTCTGATATTTGCAACTTTAATTTCCTTCAAAGTACATGTTGAATGAAAAAAACCGTTTAAACCACCTTCAAAGTACTTTAATTTTCAATATCACACAACACGTTTCAGAATTTATATAATATATTATAAATTATAGATAAATAGATGTGAAAAAGAAAGAAGAAATTAATGACACTATGAGTGTATAATGTATTTGAATACATACTTAAAAATACTTATGAGAGTTTCTAACTTATATTTGTATACATATTTTATATTTTTAGTAAAAAAATTCTTAAAATTACTTATAACTTATATAAAAAATTCAATATGCATCAAAATTACTCTATTTACTATTCGGATTCTTACCCATCCCACTAGACCCTTTTCTCCAACTCGTTTGTCTGTGGTCCTCAATCCAGTAATTAGCTGTAGTAGAACCACCCCAAAAGAATACACATCTGTCTTCATTGAAACTTTTCCAAATTCCGCATATTCTGGTGCCATATAAGCCAGATTCCCAACACAGTCCGTGGAGTATGAGGAGTCTTCAATTAAAGTTCTAGCCAAACCAAAATCGCCTAGCTGATGATAAAACATAAAAAATAACTTGTTATTATTTGATGAGGTAAAGAATCTTGTGGTTGTCGAACCAAATTTCAATGAACTATAAGAGCTTGTTAAATAATCATCCATCATTAGCATGCAGTAGATAACTGAGTATGTATATGTAAGTCTAGTGTTTCTAATAATCCAGGATAGATGAAATCCTAGATGGTAGAGAATAGAGACTGGTTTTCTACAAAAGCAGCTGAAACATTGTTATAGTAAAGTAAATTAGTTCACCACTTCTTTAGATGACCATGATGTATAATATGTATGTATGTTGTTTATATTAATAGATTGTGCATATTATTACCAGTACTTTATTATCATGTGTAAGAAGAATGTTGTTTGGTGTCATATCTCTGTGTATGATGTTGTTCTCGTGCAGGTATAGCAACCCTTTGGCAGCACCATCAGCCACTTTCAGCCTGTCTTGCCAACTAAGAAGTTTACGAGAATGTTCTGCATAGTAGAAGCCAAAGTTATTACATGTAATACCAAGATACACACATTCATATTCTTACTAGTATTTGCTATTTAGAGGGTGGTTTCATACAAGCTTAAAAGAGTTTTTTATTTTTTATTTTTATTTTTAAATTCTTCCACCCAAATAGAGTTTTTTATAGTAGAAAAATTTTCAAAAACTCTTTTAAAATTTGTATTCAAACATACTCTTATTAGTATTTATTTTCTGTTTAAGTTTGGTTTTATTCTTGTAATACCTGATAAATGTTGGTTCAATGAACCATTGCACACATATTCATAAACAAGAAGTCTATTGTTTCCTTCGGTGCATGATCCTAACAGCATGACCACATTCTCATGTCTTGCTTTGCTGAGTGCATCAACTTCAGACTTGAATTCCTTCTCTCCTTTGTGGTTTTCACACTTGTGTTGCTTAACAGCAATCTTGTGACCGCAAAACTCCCCTTTGAAGACAGCACCAAACCCTCCTTCTGACAGATAGTTCGTGGGGGAAAAACCACGTGTGGCTGCATGCAGTTCAGCATATGTGAAGTCTCTCTTCCACTCAAATTTTGGTCTTCTATTATTACACACAGAACAAACCGATTGTTCAATCGTTTCATGTTTTTCATGGCTGTTGACGTGTTGCTTTCCTTGTTTAACTTGTGTGTGAAGATGAGACATTTTTGTTTGATCTGTACCTCTTGAGCACAGAGAAAGGGATGTACAATGCTTAGTGCTATGCTATGTAATGTTCTCTATTTGAAGGATTCTATCACCTTGAAATTAGAGCCAAAAAAGTTGGCCTTTTGTAGGATTATATGTATGTTCTTGGGGCATTGGCTTTTCAAGGTTTACTAAGTAGATGAGCACTTTGGGGATCTAGATCCAAGGACTTCAAAAAACTGTCTTTATTTACCATATGATAGTAGCTGTACTGAAATGAATGTTAAGATTCTTTTCCTCCCAATTTTGAATATACCTGGATTTTTTTATTCTCTTAATTTTATACGTTGTTGGATTGGATATTCTGATGAAAGTTTTAAAATTGTGGTTGTGATTTTGTTATATATATTTGATATTAAACCTTTATATTAAATACTAATTACAGCTATTTCGAGAATGTTTATAGGAAGTTTTTTTTTAATGAAATTTTTTATACATTTTTTCTAGACTGGATACAAAAGAATATTCAAAAGATCTAGTCTTAATTCTCAAAAGAAAAGAAAAAATTCTGGTGTAAGGTTCTAAAACAACTAGGTTGAATACAGAGACAACTCCAAGGTAAAAGGAGTCTTGTCTAGGTGATATTTTGGAACGAAATGCTTTGTCATTCTTAAATGGCTGAAAGAGGCAACAATGTTTAATATATTGATTGAGAATTCAAGATGAGTTTGGGATGTATATAAATACAATAACAATGTGAAAGAGGTTGATACTTTTGCAGAAATGAAGAATAATAGTAGCTTCCAAATCACAACTTGTAAATTTTTCATATTTTTTTAATAATATCCAACAATGTTGAAGCAATTTGGTCGTATTTTAGAATTAGTTTTGCTAACCATTCCATTGAGGGCAATAGTTAAAAAAATAAAAATAATTTTTTTATTAATGGTCATACTTCTCTATAGAAATTGCACATAGAAAATGTCGATAAAATTTGTGGTTAAAATATCAACTACAATTTTTCAGTAATCTAATTATATCCTTTATATTACTTTGGTTAAGAAGCTTCACCTGTAACTTTAACTTGAAGAGTTAGTTGAGAATGATGTTATTAGAAATTTAAAATGGGTTACCATGCTGATGGGTGACATGTAAATTTAAGATAACTCCTTGCTTCCAATTTCACAATCAGCTAATGTATAATTGTATACACACTTACCTATAGCAATTGCATATTTCATACACTCATCTATTCTTCCCAAAGTTACAATTATCGCTAGCAAATAAAGATGGGGAACACGTACATTTCTATTACACTAATAATACCTTACTCGTTCTACTATTTTGCTCAAATCCAGTTGAGGGAGATTTACTAAACGTAAAAAAAACGAGAATTAAAAGATTAGCTAATTTGGAGTTTAGGGTTTAGGATATATTTTTAAGTCTTTAAAATTTCTTACATTTTATTTTTTAAGTTTTTAAGGACTAAAATAATAAAAATAAGTTTACAAAAAAAAAAAATTAGGACTAATGGAAAAAATAATTTTATGAAAATTAAAAAAATAAAATATAAATTATAGAGACTAAAAATATATTTATGCCACATCTGTTCTTATATATATTAAACATGATCAACAAACACCTCTGTTAGTAGTAAAAATATGACGGTAATAACAATAACAAAAGAAATGCAAAATACTTTGGCTTCGTGGAGAGACACTTGGATTTGATGAAAGAGAAAATAGTGAAATACAATACAAGCGAAGGTAGGTCAAATGAGGGGAGGTGGTATAGAAGATTTTGTGATTAGTGAAAAATGTAGATCACATTACTAAAGAACTCACGATTGTGGGTTGTGATTTGGCTCAAATGAGTTTAGGTTTTAGGTTAGAATGTTTAATGTGGTGACTTTTGAGGTTGAGATGGTGGAAGAAGAAGACAAATCATGATAGGAAAAAAATGTAAACTTTGCATTGATGATGGTGAATTTCTTATTTTAATTTAGTTTAAATATAATTTTTGTTACCTATAATATAGTTTCTTTTTGTTTAATTTAGTTCTTATAAAATTATTTTGATCTTTTAGTCCCTGTAATTTGATATTTTTTTAGTATCCACAAACTTATTTTGTCATTTTAGCACTTTAGGGTTTAGGTTTCCAAACCTAAACATATGTCTATGTGAATGACACGTAGGTTGAATGATAATTGATCATGTAGGAAAGTTATAAGTTAGGGAACTTATCCAAAAAAATGTCTGAGCTTATAATAAGGGATATATATTATTTAACATGGCTTGCCATTTAAATTTGTTGAATATAAATGGATTAGAGAATTATTCTCATCTAAATCCAAATGTTAAACACGTTACTAGGAATACATTAGTGACTGATGTGTTGAAATTTCACAATGAATGAAATGAGAGATTAAAACATATAATGCAAAAATGTCAAAATTGGATTTGTTTGACATCATGATTTTTGGATTGTTTGTACTCAAGAATGATAGATTTGTTTAATAGAACATTCCATTGACAACAATTGAAAATTGAATATTAAGATTCATGCATTTTGTAAAATGGAGCCTCCACATACTAGTCACATTGGCAAATAAAGTGTTTAAATACTCAAATGAGTGGAGAATTTATAGAAAAATATTTATCATTATTTTAGATAATGCTAGTGCCAATAATCGTATGCAAGAAATTTTGGTTTAGCAATTAAGATTGCAAAATAGTTTGTTATGTGATGGTGATTTTTCATGTTAGGTGTTCTGCCCATTTATTTAATCTTTTAGTTTAAGAAGGATTAAAAGTGGTTGAAGGTGTTTTGCAAAAGATTAGAGAAAACATTAAATATATGTGAAAGGTTAATAGGCAAGGAAAATAATACTTAAAAAATGTGTTGTTTAAGTGAGAGGTATTGATATTACTAAGTTGAGCTTAGGCTGGATGTTCCTACTAGATGGGATTCCACTTTTTTCATGCTTGAAGGTGCTCTTAGGTATCGACAGGATTTTTGAAGCTTCAATATTCATGATAGAAATTACAATTATTATCCATCAATTGATGAGTGGAAAAGATTTGAAAGCGTGTGTGAATTTTTTAGGCCTTCTTTATAAGAAGACCAATTTAATTTCAAGTACATCTTATCCAACATCTAATGTACGATTCATTCAAGTATGGAAAATTGAAAATTTATTGTGAGAAATACTCAAATGTGGTGATCCTTTAATGAAAGACATGGTAGTAGGAATGTTTGAAAATTTTAGCAAGTATTGCAATGATTGTAATGTTATTCTCTCAATTGCTATGATTCTTGACCCATGGAAGAAACTTAAAGCAATTCAATTTTATTATTCAAAGCTTGACTATTTTACTTGTGATGAAAGTAATGACATAAAATGAAAGATGTACAAGTTTTTTTTGAGGAATATGTGAATGTAAAGACAACTTCACCACGTGTTTCTATTAGAGTTAGTACACTAAAATGGAAATTAAGAGTTAGTACATTAAAATACTAGAAAAAATTTGAAAGAAAAACAAGAAAATTCAAGCTAAGAATTTGAATGACTAAACTCAAATCGAAATTTAACCAAACATACTCAAAGAAGTCTAACAAAATGAAAAACCAAAATTAAAAGCAATTTAAAATGACTAGCACATAAAAGAAAGTCCTAGAATAGTTCTAGATTGGATTACAAAAACAAATAAAAAGACTCAAAGGATTGAAATATAGTTAATTGAAGCTTCAAATCATTTTCATGTGAAAAAATATTTGAATTTAATTGTAGATATTTTTTTTTAATATTTTTGAGCTCCACCACTCAATAATTTTTAAATCAATAATTGAAATATTTCCTTTTTGTATATTTTTTTTTTGTAACTCTTTTTATTTCTTTATATTTTGGAGCTACTTATGTTTTTTTTTTAAATCAAACTTTGTTACAAAATTAATTCCAAATAGATTTGAAATTCAAAATTACAATTTAATGTGAATTTTAAAATTTGAATTAAACCCTTTGGTGATATTTTTATTTATGCACATGGAAGAATAAATCAACTATATTCAATGTATCTTAATATGCATATGCTGCAATTTTAAATTTAAATTTCAAATCCAAACCATCAAATTCAATTCAAATTTTAGAGCCAAAAATGTTTAGTTCAAAATTTTAAGACAAATTTTCAAGATACAATAGCAACCTAACTCTAAGAATTTACCAATGATCTAATGGTAAATATAAGCTCAAAATTGGAAACACAAAAGCATATAAAAGATTCGATCAAATCAAGATCAAAAGTAATTTGCATCAATTTTTTTAAAATTTAAATACAATTAGGTATTATTAGAAGCGAATAACAAATTAAGGACTAAACATTACTCTAGACAACTTCTATGGATGCAAAAATTGAAAGCATATATGCAACGTTTTTAGGATTTTTGAATTTGAAATCATCAATAAATGAATCAAGACTCAATCAGTTCAAAAACAAGGGCATATATGGTGTAACATCCCTTCTTTTTTTAAAAAATAAATACAAATAAATTAGAATAAATAAAGTATAATATAAGGAAAGGTTTATTAATAAAACAAAAAGAGAAGAGGTAAATTAAAAGGTATTTGGCTAGACTTTGAGCCCAACTTGGAGGTGGATTAAAAAGAAGTAAAATAGAGGGAATTAGGTTATTTTGCATCTTCTAAAAACCTAGAGCACTTGTAGAAGGAAAGATAAAGGAGACCACTGAAGAAGGTGGGATTAAAGTGCATTGAACCGTGAGATCATCACTCCATGTATAAGGGACTGAGATTGTCACATCCTTAGATATATATGAGAGATAAGAGTAGAGTGACGATCTTTAAGCCTTTTAGGTTAATGAATTGATTTCTATGACAGATGATGTGCATGCTCTAAGATCAAATTAGTGTGTTGTCCTTGTAATTTTGTGTATGAATTCTGATTGAATGAATTTAATGATGAAATGTGATATTAGTGGGTTAGGGATATGAGAATTAGGGGTTTTGGGTTTGATTTGATGAATTTCTATGA